TGTAGGTAAGAGTACCCACTTTGTTCACCAAGTTTGCTATGCATGCTAAATCTTTCCTTGCAAAACTTACATATTTGGAAAAAGTAAAAATAATGTATGTAATTTAGTTTAATATAGGATAATTGGAATTTCTTAATTTATACCCAGAATATTTCCACCAGAGTTTTCATTTTATAAAATTAACTGTTTATTAGCTATGGATGAGACTTTTCTTTCTGCCTTTAATGTTCAATTCGGTTTTGATTTATTAAGCTGTTAATCATATTGTTGTATTTAAAGTTTTTAAAATTGAAATTATGTCTTAATATATTTTCCTTTTTATTCCAGTCATTTCAGGGCAGTCAAGGCAGAGCGTACCTATTCAATTCTGTGTGAGTATTTTTTTATTTTGTGCTGAATGTTTTAATGGATTAATATGAAATTTTATTGCCTCTTTCCTGTGTGACAGTACTTTGATTGTTTTTGAAATCAACAGGGTGAATGTAGGATGTGGGCCTGCGGAGGAACGGGTACTGTTAACCGGCCTCCATGCAGTGGCAGATATATACTGTGAATGTTGTAAAACAACTCTAGGTTGGAAATATGTAAGTTCTAGTTTTTGTTTCTAAATAATTTGTTATCATACAGAGTAGGCCAGTTTGACATAGAGAGTAATATTTGTTAGGAGGTTTGTACTTTGGGTTTATGAGAATATGCATACAAAATTATGAACAGGATTAGAAGTTTGATAAAGATGAAAAATTATCAGACATGGAAGTTAGATTAAGACACTGAATTATGTTGATTAAGAAACATAATGCCGTTGAGAAAGTAATGAGTATATGATATTGTATAAAAGATCTTGTTACTTAGTCTACATGTAATATTCATTAACAGTCAAAAGTTGAAATCTTAAAAATAGAGTCATCATAAAAGTAATTGTTGGTATTACCTCATGTAAAAGGTAAGGCCTTTACTAAGGAGTACATCTCATATTACACTAAATTCAGCCTCCTCTTTTTTTCAGGAACATGCATTTGAATCGAGTCAGAAGTACAAGGAGGGGAAGTACATCATCGAACTGGCACATATGATCAAAGATAATGGGTGGGACTGAGAGTGGGCCCCCTGTGGGCACAAGATCCTTGGTGTGCAGCTGTGACCAAGCAGTGATTTCCAGCCTAATGCTCTGGTCTCCTAAGGCCCCTGCTTACTCATGATGTGCCCTAGGATGTTGATGGAGACCACAGGCTGGACCAATGAATTATATATTACTGCTTCCCTATATGTCTTAGGTTGGCCAGCTGTGCACAACTTACTCTTGAGCAGTGATCTCAGCCAGTAAATGATGCCAGGGTGTGCTGCAGTGAACTTTTATGATCAGGGAAATTTTTACAGGTGCAATGCACAGAAAATCTTGACCTACAGTGATTATAGGCAATTGATGTATCTTATCTGAAAATTACACTTCCTTGGATGCCAAAAAGTGCTGAACTTATACAAGCAAATGTGATAAGTGACATATAATATAAAGGTGAACACAAGAGCAGCACACCCTGATAGTACCTGGCCATCATCACCAGCATCACAATCATCCTACTTTCACATCATCTTTTGACTGTCCCAACAAGCCAGTCACGAGTCAGTCAGCCAGCTAGCTCTCGTCCAGTCTCATGGCCTGTCTGTGATGGGCTTTGCCCACAAGCAAATTTCAATTTGTTGTGTAGTAAATGTAAAACTAACCATCCCACCCAGCCAGTTGCAAGCCAGTTAGACAGATTGTTGTATTAGGTCTTTCTTCTGGTGAACAGTAAAATGTTTTAATAATGTATTGTCTACCATCATATGCAAAGGGACCATAGTGTGAATTAATCTGCTGCAGCAGGTTTATTCGGACACAGAGTGTACAGCATTGCCCAGAGCTCAGTTATGACAGACACTATTGCTGCAGTGTGCTTTCCATGTGTAATTATTTGACCAACTGGGTACAAGAGGACACCCAATATCCCATATCTTGCAAAAATAAGGACCATTTGTCATAAAAAGGAACATTGTGCTGGAAAACAGCTTTTAAAAATGGTAGAGGCTTTATTCATTTTACAAAGCACACAATTTGATCATATAATAAATTGTCTTGTCCATATTGTGTTAGCACAGGTCACGTGCAGAATAATGATAGTGTTCCCACTGTGATCTTTTGCATCTTGGAAGCCTGAGAAATACAGGCAACCTGTGATGATGTGTCTTACTCATTGCCACACTGTGTGATTGGACAATATTGTAGTTGATTTTGACTTGATCTGTACTGTGTATTACATTCTAAAATTTGATGTTCCCAACAACTGGACAAGTTAGTTGACTTACTGCTTGCATTTTTGTTCCTCTGCATCTTATCGATTTCCATGAAATTGGCAAGATGAAATTATTATTTGAAGACATTCACTAAAAAGAAAAAGTTGCAGTCTATCAGTTGCATTCAGCATGACTGACACTTGGTACAGTATCTGAAATGTCAGCAGTACTTCAAACCATTAATGTTCTCATTTAGAGCTGAGAGGATCTAGAATTATTGTTATTTTTTTTATAATATTAGCTAATATTCATTAATGATATGGTTTTGTCAAAGCTTATATAACAAAGCTCAAGAGAAACTTGATATGAAATTAAATTTTACTTTTCTTGCATCACAAAAATTACATCACGGTCCATAGGCAACGTATGAAAAAATGTGTTGGTCTTGGAGGAGGAGAACATGTCTGTTGTTAAAGGTCAATTGAATATCATTCTTCATTGAGTAGGTCTGCTTGGCTGCTTTTTGGCTTGATGGTGGAACACTGAACATAGCTTTAATCATCTGTAGTTAAGACTTCAACCAAGTACCTATTGGCTAGCCTTATCACATTCATTAAATGACATAAATCGGTTTATATAGCATGTTGATGTATATTGCCATAAAGTATTTGGGATAGACTTCCCATGCTAGTTGTGGGAATAAGAAGATAGTCAATGCTTTTCCGTTGAGGATGGTGGGTTATCTGCGAAGGGAAACTCTTTGCAGGGTAGTTGGTCTGGATTGTGCAATTATAGAGGGATCTGGGATACCAGTCACTGCATGTGGGGATTTAAAACTTCAATGGTTTGGTTCATGTCTCTATGCTCAGGTAGATAGAGAAGCACCCTTGACTTATACTTCTTAATTCTTAGTTATGGAGTATTATATTTTATTCACTGACTAGAAAAAAAAAAAACTTTTTTTTCTAAACTCACAAACTTATCTTCAATTCTGTCAAGTTATCTGTGTGTGTATAACTGGCATCTGTGCCTACTTCAACTATCTCCACTATGTCAGCATATTCATCTTTGTCTTAGTTGCTCATGGCACCAAACAACTTTCTATAAATTTTTGAAGTACATCTTTCACTTGAAAGAGGACTTCTTCCCCAAGCTTACTGATATTCAACCTTAATAAGGAAGAGGGTTAATCATTGTTATGTGTAATTACACTTTTCTTTTAATCTGTATTTTTATACAGATTTTTTCCATCAGTCATTATATGCTGTTGCTCGCATTTTTTATACTATTCAGTGGTAGGAATTATATTAGAGTTTTGTTTGCTCATTTCTTTTGCAAATTATAAAAAAATACCTCTACTTGAGCTACATCTGATTTATCAGTATGTCAACATCTAATTTTACTAGTCTTTTATATATTTTGCCTTGAGTCATTTTCTTTTAAGTTGCAGTTAAATTATTATAAATTGCTTTTCCAGCCAGCACACGTTCTTTCAGTATGTGCTACCTTGGTACATACACAGTTCCACATTTCATTAAATGTATGCAAATGGTCATAATTGTGTGAAGAGATATTTACTAAAGAGAGATCCCCACAAGGTGGTCCTATATTTTTACATGGCATTCTAGTCTTTCATTCTAACCAATAGCTCGAAAAGTGTGCATGTCTCTGCCTTGTGTTATATTACAGTACTAGCTGTTTGTATCATGGTTCATGAGATCTAAAAAAAAAGTGGATGGCGAAAGGCAAAATGATCTGTCTGCTGTGATAATGTTGAGAGTTGTGTATCTTTTTAACCATAGGACTTGTAAAGGTATTCTTTGATGTGATGACATCTAGTGATGGTGCGGGGTCAGTTACTATTGAAGGGCATTCAAATAGATCACACTCCTAAAAGAAATGTTGAAATGTCTGGATAGTGAGATCTTATCAGTTAGTCCATTTATGGGTCCATCTGGTTTGATTTGCCTTTCGTCAAAAGAGAAACCACTGATTGTGCAGGAAACTTTGGCTGTTGTAGCGCTTTTGTGATTGACATTATTGTAGAGGAGCTTGGAAACATTCACATAGGTTAGTTTCCTTTCAATGTTGTATTTCATAGTAACCATCATGACACTGGTAACTGCTTTTATTTTAGATTATTCATAGACAGGATGTTATTTCCTGTTATTGAGAGAAAGATTGTATCATGTAGAGTCTACATGTACTGGCAAATGTAATTAATGTATGGTTCAGCATCATTTCCTTATTTTTTTATTATCATTATTTTTTTTTTTACAGCTTGCTTCAATACCCTCTTGATATATAGGGTATTCTCTCAGTCTCCAATCACTGGTTACTATGCTCATGTTGTTGATGAATGGAACACAAGTATTTAGGACCACAGTACATTTATATTCTGTCCAAAGTGAGAGGGGTCCATGTGCAGTGTTTGTCACTTTTATACTAAGCCAGTTATACTTCAGCATCATAACTGACTTTCATTTACTCATTATGTATAACATGCTCATATATAATATCTTTTCAAGAAACATACTGTCACATCAGATCTAAAATATTCTATTATATATTCCTTCTTCATGTATTTGTTGTAGAAGTTCGGATGAAAAAGTAGCATTGAAAGTGTCTCAAACACTTACTGTTTTCTAATTCTGCTGGTACAGACTCATCCCCTCCCACTGAGCTAATTTTGTGCTGTGTCATAGAGCAGAGATGGTCATGTATTGTTCCAAGATATTTTAATTTAGTTCCATTAGCTGGAAATTGAATCAAAACCTCCAATGTTGCCTTGATGGAAGGACTTGTTGGCCTTCAAGCAGCTTTGTGCTGTGAATGACTTACCTGGGAATTCTTGCCCTATTCAAAGGATGTGACCCAATACCCACAGGCTTCTTGGTTCCTGCTTCCTGTCTTGGTAACTTATGAAAATAATTTTTGTAATGGCATAGAACAGAAATATTGCCCACCTTTGCTCATAGCTCATAAGATATTAGTGTCAATGATGGTGTATTTGGTGATTTGCAGTATCAATGTAGTTATTTCATATGTATATAGATCATTTTTTACAACCAAGGACAACATACTTTGTTTGGAAACATTTTTATTTCCAACATGTGGATTCAAATGGGATGCGATCAGCAAATACACTACTTATACAACTTTAAATCAGTTTTCTTTTGTTTATTTTCAGAAAATGAAGTGAGGATAAAGGTGCATAAGGAAAAAAATAAATAATAATTATGAAAAAGTAAAATATTTGTAATTGCTGGTCCTTTCACAAATTGTATCTCGTAGCATTGTAGAGCTTGCTGTCTTCAGTAAATCTGGATACATTAATTATTTTAAAGTCAGTGATAGTAGGGTAACTTTATCAAATAATTGTGTGTGTGTGTGTGTGTGTGTGTGTGTCATCTTTGTGTGTGTGTGTATGTGTGTGTGTATGTTTTGTGTGTGTGTGTATGTATGGTGTGTGCGCGTGTGTATGGTGAATGTGGGCGCGCGTGTATGGTGTATGTGGGCGCGTGTTTATGGTGTGTGTGCGCATGTGTATGGTGCGTGTGTGTGTGCGTGTGTGTGTGCGTGCGTGTGTGTGTGCGTGTTTGTGTGTGTGTTTGTTGGTTGTTTTTGTGTTTTGTGTGTGTGTGTATACACACACACATACAAAAAAACATACACACACACAAACCACACACAAACCACACTCACTCACTCACACACACACACACGCACACACACCCACACACAAACCATACAGACACACCCACAAACCAACCATACAGCCACGCACACACAAACAAACAAACCATACACACATGCGCACACAAACAAACCATATAGACACACACACAAACCAACCATACAGACACGGACACACAAACAAACCATTCACACACACACACAATACAGACACACACAAACCATACACACCCACACACAAACCATACAGACACACAAACCATACAGACATATACACACAAATAAACCATACAGACACACAAACCATACAGACATCTACACACACACAGATAAACCATACAGACACATACACACACACAAACACACAAACAAACCATTCACACACACACACAACCCATACACACACACACACCACAGACACACACACATACACACACACAAACACAAAAAAACACACACACACACAGACACACACTCAAACAAACCATACAGACATATACACACAAATAAACCATACAGACACACCCACACACAAACACACACAAAAACAAACCATACACACATGCACAAACAAACCATATAGACACACACACAAACCACACACAAACCACAAACCACACACAAACCACAGACATACACACACACACAAAAAAACAAACCATACACACATGCACAAACAAACCATATAGACACACACACAAACACGCACACACACACCATACACATGCGCACACAAACAAACCAACCCCCACACCAACCAACCCACACACACACACCCCCCACCACACACACACACTCGTATAACTTCGTAAAATGTATGCTATACGAAGTTATTTCGGTGTGTGTATGTTTTGTGTGTGTGTGAATGGTTTGTTTGTGTGTTTGTGTGTGCATGGTTTGTGTGCGCACGTGTATGGTGTGTGTACGCGTGTGTTTGGTGTGTGTGTTTTCATTGTGTGTGCGTGTTCATTGTGTGTGCGTGTGTTTTGTGTGTTTTTTCCCCCCACACACACACACAGATAAACCATACAGACACACCCACACACACCCACCCACACACAAACCATACAGACATATACACACAAATAAACCATACAGACACACAAACCATACAGGCACACACACAAACAAACAAACCATACTTACATACACACCGTAATAACTACGTATAGCATACATTTTACGAAGTTATACGATTATCTGTGTGTGTGTATATATATATATATGTATATATATTATACATACAAAAATATATATATACACACACACAGATAAACCATACACACACCGTAATAACTACGTATAGCATACATTTTACGAAGTTATACGATTATCTGTGTGTGTGTGTCTGGATGGTTTGTGTGTGTGTCTGTTTGGTTTTTTTGTGGGTGTGTGTGTGGTTTGTTTGTGTGTGCATGGTTTGTGTGCGCACGTGTATGGTGTGTGTATTATACCCACACACACACACACGCGCACACACCATACACGCGCACACACACCATACACACACGCACACACACCATACACACACGC